CTAGAATATGCTAGAAATAAGAAATAAGAGTTACCTTTCCTCTCCTTCCAAAAAGAATAGTATGCAACAGTTTGAGAGTATCCTCACTCTTATTTCTTGACAACCTGTATGCCACTGAAATAAAACAATGGTTCAGATATAAAGTATAAATCCAAAATCTTTTTCTTACACTTGTGCAGCTGGCATCATTTATTTTCATTTAAGCACATAAAACAAAATGATGTTTTCGACAGAAGTATGAAGCATAATAAGTAGATACCAAGACCAAAAATTGAAGGAATCATAAGAGTCAAGCAGTAACTAAGCAACAAACAAAACGAGCAACAATTTACCATGAAACACAATACCATATTACTTTACATGTCAAAAACAACAGATGCAGGTGAGGTATATGCATGGAGATCGAACCATGTAAGTTCCAGATCTCTGCAAACCACTTTCATAGACAAGATTCCCCATCAGTACACATGAGACAAACCATAATAACCATATAGTTGATAGAAACACACCCAGAGCGTTTAGTGAAACAGCATTGCTGCTGCCAAATTTTACATCATTACGTAGCAGTTCAATTGCTCATCTGCTTTCTTAGAGCCTATTACATACCAATACATTTATCATTTTAATTCAATTAAACCTACATATACATATAAGCAAGAAGAAAACCAAAATATACAGAACCAAAACTATGAAAACACAAGTATATAAGAGTTCCGAACAAGTAAGCATTTTAACCGCAAAAGACTATTTGATTAACCATTTATCACCCAACTTTTGTGGACTGAAATTGAAAGGACTCGGGACTGTCTGATAAAATAAGCAAACAGATTCAGGTGATAAAATAAGCACCGGGATTCAGGTCCAAGTAACAGTACCTCACTCAATAATCAGTAGCATAAAATCTATGATTTACAAACCTAGATGATAAATTGTGAGTATGCATCAGGGATGAGTCAGAAAAATTGTTTAGATGGCAAAAGATACTGAAGAAAGTACATGTGATGAGAATCATGAGCAAGATCATAATTGTTTAATGCCCTCACAAATCATTCTAGCACTAAGAAAAAGAACAAAATTTTAGGCAAGCCCAAAGTTGTATCACACTCCAACACTTCTTTGTTCTAACGAGAAATGTTCAACAGCAAGAGAAAATCTTCAAGTTGTTTCAGTAAAGACAAACACATCAGAATAAATGCAGCTGATTTGACTTTGTTGACAGAAGTGAAAAGACATGTTCAAGGTTCTGCATTGCAAAAATATACCACTAGGGATATCTTTCAGTGCGGTTCCACGACCCTGCAATAAAACAATACATGTCTCAGGATTCAATCTTCAACAACTTCTAGATCAAGTTTCACAACAAGAGTACAACCACAAAAACTTTACTCAAAACCCTTGATGAAAGCGAATCAAAATGTAGCAATATGTTCAACAAATTAAATTTATAACGCACCTTTAAAACATGGAATTCCTTAGAAGAGTCCTGCTCAATAATGGCGACCAACCTTTCAACGGATTTTCTTTCACGTACAGGGCGCTCAATTCTGGAAGCTGCAGGAGTTGTTGGGTCGTCTTTCTCTTTTTCTATTGATGACTTAGGTTCATTTGTCTTTTTATCGTTTGGCGATTTATTTCCTTCCACCGTATCTTCAGGTCCCTTCTTAAAGCTTTTCTTTCCAGCTCCACTCTTTGTTCTAGGACGTTTTCTTGTACCTTTCTCTTTGATGGCCTCATCTGCATTTTCTTCCTTCTCTTTCGTTCCATCAACCTCCTCTTGAACTTTATCCTCAATCTTTCTGTCCATGTTTTCTGCTTCTTCAGATGCATTCCCGGTTTTTTCCTCTGTGTCTATCTCCATTTTCTCACTCATTTTTTCCTTCGTTTCTGCTTCTTCAGATGCATTATCGGGTTTCTCCTCCTTATCTTCCTCCATTTTCTCACTCTCTTTTTCTTTCTTTTCTGATTCTTCAAATGCACGATAGGTTTTCTCCTCCGCGTCTTTCTCCATTCCCTCAGTCTCTTTGTCCTCCATTCTAGGAGGTTTTCTTGTACCTTTCTCTTTGATGGCCTCATCTGGCTTTTCTTCCTTCTCATTCACTCCATCAACCTCCTCTTGAAGTTTATCCTTAATCTTTCTGTCCAAGTTTTCTGCTTCTTCAGATGCCTTCCCGGTTTTTTCCTCTGTGTCTTCCTCCATTTCCTCGTTCGGTTTTTCCTTCTTTTCTGCTTCTTCAGATGCATTAGCAGGTTTCTCCTCCGTGTCTTCCTCCATTTTCTCACTCTCTTTTTCTTTCTTTTCTGATTCTTCAGATCCATGATAGGTTTTATCCTCCGTGTCTTTCTCCATTCCCTCAGTCTCTTTGTCCTTCTTTTCTGCTTCTTCATCAGATCCATGCTCGGTTTTCTCCTCCATGTCCTTCTCAATTCCCTCAGTCTCTTTGTCCTTCTTTTCTGCTTCTTCAGATCCATGTTGCGTTTTCTCCTCCATGTCTTCCTTCTTTTTCTCACTTTCTTTATCCTTTTTTTCTGCTTCTTCAGGCACAGTATCAGTTTTCTCATCTGTGTCTTTCTCCAGTTCCTGTTCCTCGTTTTCTGCTTCAACAGTTGGAATCTCAGTTTTATCCTCCGTGACTTCTTCCATTTCATTTTCCTTCTTTCCTGTTTCTACAGTTGAACTCTCAGTTTTATCCTCCGCGTCTGGTTCAATCTCCTTTACCTTTTTTTCTACTTCTGCAGTTGTATTCTCAGTTTTATCCTCTGCTTCTCCCTCTATTTCTTTTTCCTTCTCTTTTCCTTCTTCAATTCCACTCTCTGATTTACCCTCTGCGTCTCCTTCTATTTCCTTCTTTTCTACTTCTGCAGTTGTATCCTCGGTTTTTTCCTTGGCGTTCTCCTCCATTTCCACACTCTTGATTTCCTTCTTTTCAACTTCTACAGTTTCATTCTTTTCTCCTAATTCCTTTGTGTCTTCTTTAGTACTACCCTCATCCCCCTTTTCATCGCTTTCTTTGCTCTTAATGACTTCTTCTTTGTCCACATCCATATCCTGAGACTCAACTTTCATTTCATCTCCTTTCTTCTCTTCTGTTTCAGTCACCCCAACCTGATACTCCCCTTTCTTATCCACCTCAGCTTCAGTCACTTTGTCCGTCCCACCATCTTTCTCAACGCAGCCATTGGCCACTGACTCAAGCTTCTCAGTCACGGCATCTCCCTCACCCATAATAGCTAAACAAAGTATGCAAGTTGAGCAAGGCCTGATATATCCTGCGCACAGTACAGTGTCCTTAAAATGATATCCTTGATAAAAACTACATAATTACAGGAGGAGGAATGGGCGAAAATCCAAATAGGAAAAGTTAGGAACAAAGGAGACATCAAACATTTTGTGACAAAAAAAGCAAACATGAAACCCGCATGCTAATTGCATTCGCTTACATAAATTTCGGACGAATTACAACATGAATTCATGAATACCAAGCTATAAAAACAGCCAAAAATGTCATACAACATAATATACAGGGACAACTGACTCTAAAAATTCCTTCGAATTCATCCAAACATCTGCATGGAGACAGTTCTTAAAATCCTTAGGCATGGACATTCTAAAGGCCCCAACAAGATCTACCTAATCAGTACCACCGACACAACCTCATCATTACAGACAAAATCATAAAAAACGAGGAAGACGGCGAATCAGTAGAAGAAAAAAAAAACAACAACAGTAGCCATGTCAAAGGAGCCAAACATCACAAAAGCTTGTGAATTCCCAAAAATGGTGAAATCCAAAACCCTAAACATACCAAATTAAACAACAATTTCTCGAAGAAGAGAGCAGATGAACTTGATTGAAATTCGAAACAAAAAAAAAAAAAAAATTGAAACGGTAATCAAAATGGAGAAAAATTAACTGAAAACTTACAGAGATTCGAAAGCTGTTCTTCAAGTTCAGTTCACAGTTCACAGGAGAGAATATAAACGACTTTTGCTTTGTATTATTATTCTGATTCCGAAGGACCCCTCAGCGGGACTTATATGGCGGACATGAAGCTCGTGTATTAAATCCAGTTAAATGCCATGTCGGAGCACGGAGACGTTGGGTGGGGACATTGCGTTTTCACGGCTGAGATCAGTTTGTGTGGGCGGGCTACATATTCAACGGACGAGATTTCATATATTCACATGAACGTGCTCTTCTGTTAAAGCTTATCTATCATCTGGCTATGGGCTCCTGTTGATTGACGATAAAGAGCCGGTGGCCGATTCGATATTTGGGCCGATTTGGGCCGAGGTTGTTGGGCTGAAATGTATGGTTATCGGGTTTCATCGTGTGTGTAAAATTGCATTTTTAGTCATGTTGGTTTAGCGACCTAGCATTTTTAGTCTCAATATTTCAGTCCTAATTGCTAATTAAAATCTATTCAAAATATTTTTTATTAGCAATTTGAATTATTTAATTTTAAATTTTGTTGCATTTTTAGTCTCAAATGACTGAAATTGCGTTGAATTTTAAAATCATTGAACCAAATGGCAAAAATATTCGATTCTAAATATAAAAATGCTACTGGATCAAACCAACATGACTAAAATTGCAAATTTGGCTCGTCTGTGCTCACCACTTGTCCTGAAATATAACGTCTTGGAATCGTGGGACACAACATCCCCTCATATTCTAAAATTTTAATGTAATTGGGATTGGAAAGGATGCATCATCCAAGACTCGCATTAACTTTGTTTGCAAATAATTTGCAAATAAATTAACTTTAATTTACATTTGTATACAGAACAAATTTGTATTTTAAGATAATACGGAAATCTATATAGAGAGAAACAACAAAATTTGATAATTTTATCCCTTTTTTTTATATCCATATATGAATTGTGTAACGTTTTTTTATGACCTTTTCGCCATTCATCATTTTATGTAATAGTTACTATATGAGATATGATATTGTAGAATTCATGCCTATTTCTTGTTCAATTTTCTTTTATCCTTGATTATATAAAAATAATTTTACAGATTAATTTAGATTACAAAATGATGTAAGAACATCTCCCATGGTTGTTGAATTAATGTAGCAAATATATATATATATATATATATATATATGTATATATATATATATATTAAAGTTTCTTTATGCTTGAGTAAGTAAAATTCACACAATAATTCAGACCAAAAATTACAAAAATAAATAATTTAGAAATAAAACTAAAAATTCCAGTCAGCTATTCCATTACATATCTCCACATATATATCTAATTATATAAATCATTAATATGGAATTGAGAATGCAAACACCAATATATCTAATTTAAATTTCGTATTTAGGTTTGTTGATGAGTTGATTCATGTTATCTATGTATAATGTTTATGAATTATGGTTAATTGATTTAGTTAGACCGACTACATTTAAATATTTCTAACTTAATTGCTAGATTCTAGACTTTAATCTGTAATTGTTATTATTCTGGTTCGTTTGTATTAAACTAGGGGTCGTGTGGTAGCATGAACGTAGGTTAAATGGCCCGAACTTCCACATCCGTTGCTTAGACTAATATATTTTCCTAAAAATTAATGTTGCCAGTGCACTAAATCTAAGAGAGCTTATTCTGGGTTGTTCACTAGTATGTTTAGTCGAAGAGATTATTTCGATAATATATTCGGGTAGGGACAATTTGGTTAACATAGTTTGTTGTTAGCTACGGTTGGTAGTTCATTTGTAGTTTAAGGAAGGCGTTGAGATTAATTAACGGTAGATTTAGATCGAGTGATAACTGAACTGAAAACTGTATTTCTCTCATTATTTTTATCTTTATTTTATTTTCTTATTTAGAAATCGAAGGCCACAGTCGAGAGTTTTCCGAACCTTGGAGAAAAAATATTTTGACGTTATGGAAGTACAAAAGGCATGCACATTACAATTCCTGCTCAAACTCAAAAAATTGAAGAGGAAACGAGACCTGTTACGAGAAGGAAGAAGACAGTTCAAAACTCACAATACACGAGTCAACCTTTCAAGAATGTCATAGTTCATTTCCAGCAGCACTAAATTGCCTTCAGCTAGTTCTCTAGGATGTCGTGTGTATCCCGTTTACCGTCTTCACGTCTGCAATCGGTTGCGGGGAGGGTGAGGAAAAGATAAGGCGACTTTGATATAGAAATAAATTGCTTCGTATCGCCGGATAAATTTTATTTTACTAGTACAACACCCGCGTATTATACGGACGCTTGTTAAAAAATTATTCTTAAATTTTAAAATTAATGAAAAAATTATATTAAATTTAGTTTACTTTTTTACAAAAAAATATATTACTATATATTTTAGAATGATATGTGTTACTTATGACTTACATGTGTTATATTATATTAGTTTTTATAATTTATATCATATAACTACTTGAAATATAAATATATTAGTTGATAAATAATTTTATTTTTCTAATTAATATATAAATAATTTTATTATTGTTATAAAGATAAATATAAATTATTTTATTTATACATACAATATGGATATTGTATGTTAAATCAAAACTCATCAAAAGAAGATTAATTTGATATATTACATATGCAAAACTGATAAAAAATACAAAAGTTATTAACTTTTAAAATATATATACAATTCAATAGTTATAATAAGGAATGATATTAAAATGTAATTAATACATGTAACATGACCATAAATAATCAACAATATTTATGGTAATCCGAACCTAATTATTTTTGGTTTGGAATTAAATTAAAATTTACCCAAGCCTAATAACGAAGCATGTAATTTTGCCACATAGGATTCGGAAGCACCAGAAGCAGCCACATAGGCTCAGCGCGTTCTGGATTAATATATGGGGGGAATTTTGGAAGTAACTACTATTGGATAAATTTTTTTTAACTCAAACCACTATTCATCTAATAATCCAAATTTCTTCTCCTCAACATTATCAATATAATTAATCCATTCTTACAACAAATCAAAATTTTCCATTCTTAACTCACTTTATTTCCAGTTAATCAAAATTAACCAAAAAAAAAATCTATATCCAATAGCCCGTGCATCGAATTTCTCATTAACGAATACCGACTTTATAAGATTTAAGATGTCCCAAGTGAATTCTATCTCTGTTTATAAGATAATAATAGATAGAAAACTAGAACCATACCAGTATTGTAACCGAGGAACTCCAATCCAACAGCTGAAGGCGTCAAGCCGTTCTGAGCCAGATACTGGGGATTGTAAAACTTACTCAGGTGCCTCATCCCACTGTCACATAAAATTGTGACAATCGTATGACCGGGTCCCAGTTTTTGTGCGACTTTTACGGCCCCCACACAGTTCATCGCTGAAGAGCTGCCAAGAAAGAGGCCATCTTTTTTCATCAAGTACCTGAAAGACAAGACGTTTTAAACATCCACAAAGTTTCTCAAAAGAGTACTTTTAAGTACATTGTTTTTGGAATAACTTCTATTTTTCAGAGAACACATTTTCATGTTGATACATAAGCCTAACCACCTCTAAGCCGCACAAAAATTCTACATAGGTTCTTTCTCAGGAATGCACAAGAAACTGGAGCCGAGTAACTAATACACAATCCCCTTCAAAAATAAAAAATATTGGGCAACCATGTCATCCATGGTGGACAAAACTTACAAAACCTATAATAAAACATGTAAAAGAGTCAACAGAGCAAGTGACTCGACAGGAATTGAGAAGTGCATAATGTTTATATGCATTTTGGCAAAATCTGTAACAAACAAAAATAAAGCATATCTTATCTATTATTTTTTTCAACATAACAAATTTAATACCAGTGATGTTCACTTCTGCATGGTGAAGCTAATTATAAAACATGAACTATGGCATCTAAAGTATAGCAGAAACAGGAATCACACTACTTACAGCACTGAACATATCCAAAGGTTTCAATGTGCGGTAACTAATCTATTCACCATAAATGGCCACTACCAAAATGACAGAATTTCAATGCTATGGATTACGAAAGACAAGGAATAATCCTATTCAAATATTGTTCTCCCAAACCAAGAGCAAGAAATACGAACTAAATCGTTAGTTCATCATCTAAGAAAGTCTAATAACAAGTTAAACCGACGAACCTAGACATTTCAACAGCTTCCTTATCCGAGCCCCGGAACGCCCCGTCAAGTTGAGCCATTTTAAAATTTTCCGTTAACCTGTTGATTCCAATTCCTTCAGTGATTGTATCGAAAGGGTTCTTCAATCTCTTTCCTTCAGCCTCCTCCTTAGTGTACATCACTCCTCTTGTCACCTTGTTGAACAAACCAGAACCAGGTGGGTCGATCAGAAAGCACTTGATGGAAGGTTTCTTTTCCTGTCGAATATGCAGAAAGAAAAGAAAAAAGGTTATACGGTTACGCCATGTAAGATAAACCTAAACATTCCACAATTTGGCAGATATCAACCTTCAGAAATCGAGAAACTCCTGCTACAGTGCCACCAGTGCCAGCAGCAGCAACAAATGCATCCGCTTTCCCGCCAACATGTTCCCAGATCTCGGGCCCGGTTCCTTCATAGTGAGCCCGACAATTGGCAAGATTCTCAAATTGATCTGCAAAGAAACCTCCCTTGCAATCTGCTAAACATTCTGAACTATGTGTTAAATCATCCGGATCATGGCTGATATTCTGATTTAAGTGACTGCTAACCCTGCTACCTTCTTCTTGGCGCTTTGAAGCTAGTTCATTTGCCTCCAATGCTCTTCTCCTTGCAATATTGACAAAGTGGTCTCTATGCGTGATTGAAACCGGTCTAACTCTTTCGACATTGGCGCCGAGAGCTTCTAGAATTTGAGACTGCAAAAACAGTAATAAGAATCAGGATCTAGAAATATGACCGAGAGAATAAACCGAAATCTTTCTTACAGTTGCGAAATTCACATGCGAACAAAACAATGTTCTTGTGGAGAGAAGTTGAGCAAAAAATTCTAAACTCTAAAGAAAGCAAGATTGTCCATTGCAAATGGAGCTGGAAGAGTCATTGTTGACAATTCTCCTGCATAGTGCTAATAATGGACTAGATCAAAATGGCTCAATTAAATTCTAGTGCTTCTTCTATAAGTGAAGTTCCTAGAACAAAAATATATCAAACGACGCAATGCACCTTGGGTCGCTACGGAAGCCTCCTTGTATAATTACAAGGGTAAGGTCTGCGTACAACTGACCCCCTAGATCCCAACCAGTTGGGAATATACTGGTTGTTGTTGTTTCTAAAGAAAGCAAGAAAAAACATGACTGAAACCCTACAACCTATAATGTAACTGATTACAGTTAAAACCTTCTCAATTGCAGCATCATCAGGGATTACTACATGGCACCTGCATCCATAGGCTGGAGCAACTGTTGCAAGGCTGATTGCTGTGCTTCCAGCACTTCCTTCTGTAACTACCCCACCAGGAGCTAGAGCTCCACATTCCAAGGCCTGCGAAAATAATAGTGCAAACCAAAACACATTTCATGCTGAGGAAACTAAATTATAAAATAAAAGATTTAGCTACCAGAGGAATGTACCAGAGTCATACAATTTCAAGTAAATTCATCTATCCGTGTATCTACTATAATCCAAGATCTGAATCTGTACCCTGAACGCTCTTGTAGGACTACAAAAAACCCTAAAGTGGGCTTCTCAGACTATCCTTATCCCCAACCCAACCTAACAATTAAAAATTATTTATCTCTCCTCTACTTACACTACTCAATCTTCCAACCCAAATTATCTTTATCCCTAACCCAACTCAACTTAAATATTTATTTTATTTGAACTTATTTAAAAATGACATTTGTGTTCTAAAATATATTGGTCTCTATTTGTAGAGAATGAAAAAATACGAATTTTAATATTTTTTTATTTTTTTTAGAAACAAAAAAAAAATACATTTGTCCAATAAAAATGGGACAAGTGTCCCATTTCTGCAAAAAAAAACCGGTCGCAACCCGAGGTCACAATGTGACCTGGGTCGCCGCTTATGGTGACCTTTTCCTTTTTATTTATTTATTTTTTTTTTTTGTTTTAATCCTGTGACCCAAGGGGAGGGTCACGGATAAAGGTGGTCTCAGGGAACCCATAGCTGAAAGGTGGTATGAAAAACTAACTAGGTTATCCATTATGAGGACTCATTTTGAAACCATGGATATCAGCCTCTGTGTATGGGAACAAACCGACACAGGCTACTGCAAGTGTGGGTGAAGGAACTTATAGGGAAAAGATTTGTGATAAATCACAGAACTTAAAAGAGGCCGGTTTGTCTCAAGCTCAGCCAGGGGGATGAAAGTAAAAGGCAAATAAGAATGGGAATGTGGGATAATTCAAGTAGGAGATTGGGGTTTTCTCAAATTGAAACCTCAAAGGCAACATCCTCTTGATAAAACAAAGGATGTGGACATTAAATCCTAACTTCATTGACCCTCTCAGGGTAGCTAGAAAGGTGAAATGATCAAACAAGGTTTGCCTCCTGATTCATTCAATCATCAATTTTTTCTTCGCATAGAAGAGAATACATAATCAACTACCACTGGTGAGTAGACAATCACGTATGATGACAGAAATTTGGTTTTACAAGAAGAAGCTATAACTAAAAGAATAATGGTGAATACAAAGAAATTCGGTAGTTTTGGAGTACCTCCGGTTATGGTCCAGTGGCTAGATAACCACCGTCCTCAATTTAAGTCTGCCAGACCAGACCAAAGTAAGGGACTAGCAACTTCCAAAACAGTAGAATCGAACGATAAGTAAGTGTACATATTTTCCATCCGGTTATGGTCCAATGGCTCGAACACTCATGCATACATTTCAAAAATCTATCTTGAATAAGCAATAGTAATGCTGCTGATAATTTACTGTACAAATCCATCCACACTTCTTTTCCTTTCTTTCTCCATTCCTTCTGACCGTCTTATGTATTTTCATGTCCATCTTATAATTCTCCAGCATTTATCATGTAGAATTTTCTACAATATCTGGGTGTGCTTCATAACAAAGATGAGAAATCCAAAACAATATCCGGAGAACAGCATGAAAGAATCTGGGGGAAAACGGGTCGGGCCAACTAACATGAAGCGCACCAAGAGCGGGGAAAGCCCCACACAAGTGATATTCTAACACAGCAAAATCGAAAATAGAGCTCATCAAAAGTAGAAGGATGAGAATTCGCCCACCTCTTCAATGATTTTAACTGCGACCCTATCTTTCACGCTACCTCCAGGATTCAAGAACTCTGCCTTCCCCAGAATCTGCCCACCAAAAACTTTTATGAATGATTTACAACAAATAATGATAATTAGCAAAACAAACAAGTATTCAATCAAGATGGGCAATTTTTACTTCGCATCCAGTAGCGTCAGAAAGGCTATTAATCCTAATGAGAGGGGTGTTGCCAATGGCGGCGACGAGACCACTTTTGGGCTTCTTGAGTGTGTCCTTTCGTGTAGATGATTTCGAGCGAGACTTGTTGGTGGTGTACAGAAATATGCAAGAGAGCACGCCTATCACTGAAAGTAGAGTCAAGGCGGCGCCGGCGGTTCTGGCAGGCGGCGCCATCATCGGCTATGCCTCCGAGAAACCGTTCCGGTTAATAAAATCGGTCGGGATACGTTAGAACGGCAACACGGAGGCTATATTGTTTTAGGCTGAAAAAACCTGCAAACGTGTAATTAAGCTCGGGAAGGGGGAGATAAATTCAATTGAGATTCCGGTGATTGGTAGGCGGAATTGGACTATCTACTTCAACTTAAAATTTAGATCAAATTTAATTTAACTAAATTATCCTAAATATTATTAATATAATTAAATAATATCATTTATTTCACTACCTTCAATAATATCAGTATAATTAAATAATATTTATTATTGATCTGCTGCGACACGACAACTTTTTATTCACTGAGTTCCTTTTTGTTGAGCTTTGAGTTCAGCTATTTTCTACTTGAGGGTCACGACGTCGACGGCATTGTGCCTCACCAATCTGTTTTTTAACAACTTTTAGCTTAGGTTGGGTGTGGCCTTCGGCCTCTCCAACCGTTGGAATACTGAAGGGGATGTGGATCTCATGTCCCGAGTGTTGGATATTTGGTGTAAAATTACACAGGAATCCTACGAGCTGATATGTATTTTCAGTTCTTACAAATATTCTAAAAATAGAATTTACAATTGAACTAAAAAATAAATTACAACTGAAAAACGGAAAGAGTTTTACGATTTTAGCCGAGGCGAGTAAAACTCTTTCCGCAAGAAGAATACGCCCCGTGTGGCAGCTAACGGTTCAGGCGTAACTTCCCCAAATATACAACGGCAAACGTCTCTAAATCTGTAGCACACTAGATTTACCAGCTCCGACGAACGGGAACGGAATCGAGAATTGAGCACTTAGTAAAAAAAAAATATTATGAAACAAATAAAAATATCACTTGTTTCTCTCTTTTGATATTTTTATTTTCGATATTTGGACATATATTTTCTTTCCTTTCTTTTCCTTTCTTCTCTCTTTTTTCTCTATTTGGTGCGTCCATTCTCTCTGCCCGAATGGAGTTTTTATAGTGGAAATGATCAGATAAAACCTTGAAGATAAAGCCTACAAACTCAATTATTATTCCAAACATAACTAATCATGTGTTGATGGCAATGATTCCTCCTTCACGCAAATTGAGCTGTAAGATGCCAATTTGCTTTAATAATTTACAATGATGGAACCCACACATTTAATTAAACCCAATAATTAGTTACAATCCCCCACATGAGTTTTATTAAATATATATAGTCTAATATGATCAATCCTCACAAAATTCTATTGCATCAGAAAAGGTAGCTTTTGGCTTTGAACCTTTCTTAGTAAACATCATCGGATGTACTGGCGGTCTAGTGGACGTAATGCCTTGAACTATTCCTCCATAGTGTACACCTAGACAATGACATTCACACAATAGAGTCTTAACTCCATTTCGTTCTATCGTTGTGTCCGTTTTGGCCATGGAAAACACAATGGATTCATAAGTGTTTACAATTGAAGCGGCCCACACTTCACACTTATATAGGTGACCTCCCTATCAAGAGTATCCTGTCTTACTCCACCTTTACAAGGTTAGGGATTCATTAAAAGTATATTTTGACTTACCCTCACCACAATCAACAGGTAATCTTGCACTTGGAGTGCTCTAGGGAATAGCTTTGGACATTCATTTGTTCCAAGTGCTCAACTGAATTTTCATAGATTAGTTTTCCCTTTGAACCATGTTCATGAGATCTCCACTCAGCATGGTAGGGTTACCACTATGATCATTCTTTACATTGTTGATTTTTAAGCCCATTCCCTCTAGCAAAACTGTCAATTGATCTCTATTCAATCCTTTCGTCAAAGGATCAGACAAATTTTCCTTAAACTTCACATAGTCAATGGAAATAATACCATTTGTGATCAATTGACGTACGGTATTATGTATACGACGAATATGTCTAGACTTACCGTTATACAAGTTGCTTTGCGCCCTACCTATAGCAGCTTGGCTATCACAGTGAATCATCACAGGCGACAAAGTATTATCCTAACATGAATATCGGATAAAACATTTCTAAGTCACTCGACTTCTTCACCAGCTTTATCTAAAGCGATGAACTCCGATTCCATAGTTGACCGAGCTATACACGTTTGTTTTGTGGATTTCCACGAAACTGCACCTTCTCCAATATAGAAAACATATCCGCTAGTGGAGCGAGTATCTCTCGAATCTGATATCCAGCTTGCATCACAGTACCCTTCAAGTACGGCTGGATATTTTGAGTATTTTAGCCCGTATTCAAGGGTCTACCTCAAGTACTTAAGTACCATTCTCAAAGCACTCCAGTGCTCATGACTGGGATTGCTTGTAAATCTGCTCAACTTATTCACCGGATAGGCCAAGTCTGGTTATGTACAATTCGTCAAGTACATCAGACTCCCTATTATCCATGAATATTCCAACTGAGCCACTGGTTGACCTTTGTTGACTTCTAGATTTCTACTGAGATCAAGGGGTGTCTTACACCTAGACTGTGCACCGTCATAGGTATCAAATTTCTTGAGCATTTTCTCTACATAATGAGATTGTGACAAGACAATTCCATCTTGGGTTCTGACAATCCTTATTTCAAGAATAACATAAGCCAAACTCATATCTTTCATGTAGAAATTTCTTTTCAACATTCTTTTCCTATCCATGATCACTTCATTGCTACTCCCCATGATCAACATATCGTCTACATATAGACATACAATCACAAATGTATTTGATGTACTCTTGACATAAACACATTTATCACATTCGTTGATTTTGAAATCATTTGTCAACATCACGTCATCAAATTTCAAATGCCATTGTTTTGGAGCTTGTTTCTGTGGGTACAAGGATTTGATTAATCTACACACCTTTCTCTCTTGTCCAGGTGCAACAAACCCTTTAGGTTGTTCTATGTATATTTCTTCTTCCAATTCACCATTCAAAAATTCTGTTTTGACATCCATTTGGTGAATCTCAAGATTGTGTACAACAGTAACTGAGAGAAGCACTCTTATCGATGCTAAACGCGTAACAGGTGAATAGGTATCAAAGAAATCGTACCCTTCCTTTTGTTTAAAGCCTTTGACCACCAAACGTGCTTTAAACTTGTCAATCGATCCATCAGCTTTATATTTCTTCTTTATGATCCACTTGCATCCTAAAGGTTTACAACCATCAGGGAGATCAACCAACTCCCAATAAAGATTTTGCATAATGGACTCAATTTCGCTATTTACAGCTTCTTCCCAGAGTGGTCCATCTGGGCTGGACAGAGCTTCCTTAAGGGAACTCGGTTCATCGTCCAACATATACGTAATAAAATCAGGTCCAAATGTTTTAGTCATTTTTACCCGTTTACTACGTCTCGGTTCTTCATCAGTACCTTTGGTACAGAACCTCTAGCAGTTTCATACGTTCGTTTATTAGTGCAACAAATATGTATTTTCATACGTACTTGACGAATTTGGTGTAAAATTACACGGGAATCCTACGAACCGATATGTATTTTCAGTTCTTACAAATAATCTAAAAATAGAAAATTACAATTGAACTGAAAAATAAATTACAACTGAAAAACGGAAAGATTTTAGCCGAGGCGAGTAAAACTCTTTCCGCAAGAAGAATACGCCCCGTGTGGCAGCTAACGGTTCAGGCGTAACTTCCCCAAAGATACAACGACAAACGTCTCTAAATCTGTAACACACCAGATTTACGAGCTCCGGCGAACGGGAACGGAAACGAGAATTGAACATTTAGTAATAAAAGGAATATTCTGAAATAAATAAAAATATCACTTGTTTCTTCTCTTTTGATATTTTTATATCCGATATTTAGACATATATTTTCTTTCCTTTCTTCTTTTCCTTTCTTCTCTTTTTTTTCCTCTATTTGGTGCGTCTATTCTCTCTGCCCGAATGGAGTTTTTATAGTGGAAATGATCAGATAAAACCTTGAAGATAAAGCCTACAAACTCAATTATTACTCCAAACATAATTAATCATGTGCTGATGGCAAAGATTCCTCATTCATGCAAATTGAGCTGTAAGATGCCAATTTGCTTTAATAATTTACAATGATGGAACCCACACATTTAATTATACTCAATAATTAGTTACACCGAGTGGGCTCCGACTGGCTTTCCCTAGTCTCATCAGTCTTTTCCCGATTGGAGGTTTTGTCTTCAGTAGTCCTTTGGCGACTATGAGACCATGAAGTCTCATAGCATTGAACCGGTTCCTTGCCTCTGTGTTGAGCCGAGTTCACATCCTTTTCTGCTGGTGTTTTTGGGACAACCGAAGCTGTTGGAAGGGTCTCTGCCAATAGGCTTGAAATACCTTTACGAAATCTGAATTTTGAAATAACAATGCAAAGTCAATGTTTGGGCCACCTTGTATTTCTTTTCGACCCAAGAGAGTTCTTGATCTTCACGGCTTGAAGATGACATATTTTCTTCAGTTGTTTAGTATCAATGTTGGTCGTGATTACTTCACAACAAATGATGAGCCCTCATTCTAGCACTAATCTGTTGACCTATGAAAGTTGGGCCAACTGGTGGGTAAATTTCCTTAAGTAAAAACGAGATAAATAATCAAAATGAGGTCGAATGACGTCTTTATAAGTAAATTAGCTCAGATGTTGTGTAAATATCGTAAGTTATTTTTAGAAAGAGAATAATTTCCTCAAATTTATTACAATATATTAGGGGTGGGCAAAAAAATCGAATTCCCGGTATCGAACCAGACCGAAATGGTCTTGTTCCGAAAAATAGGGTTTCAAACGGGTTTTCTAATGTTTGTACCGTTCCCGGTTACCGAACCGTTTGAAACAATATCGGTATCAGTTTTGAATATTTTTGTCCCGAACCGTCCCGTTTCCCGTTTTTTTTTTTGTATATATATATAATGTTAGTATTATAGTAAATAATTACTAATAATTTTTGAATTTCTTGCTTCAGTTCAAGTTTTGTATTTGTAATTGTTAAAGCTCAATCCTCTGGCCCAAAATAATAATAATAAAAAACTAAACCATTATCCGTTTATTTGGCCCAAATGTATAAATCAACTAAGAAGACAATGAGACATTATTGTGGGGGGGGTTGAAGTTGAACTGTGAAGTTCATTTCACAATTCTCATTCCCAAATAATTTCACATGCTCATTCCTAACCAATTCCTCAAATAAAATCGGTATTTGGTTGAGTTATTTTTTTTTTTATCTGTTTTTGTCCCGGTCTAATTTGTTTCGGTCCCGATTGATACCCATCGTTTGAGAGGGTGTCTCGTCCCGGACCGATTCATAAAAATGGGACATGTACCGGGATAGGTCAAATCTCGGACCGTCCCGGACCGCTCTCACCCCTACAATAAATGAGGGAGTATTCATAAAACCAACGGGCATTGTTTACAAGGTTTGTACAATAGCAACAAATGCGATTTGATGACGACCTGCGATTCTGCAAGAGGGGACCCACTCCTAAAGATCACATTTCGACAGTACGATGGACATGCGTCTCGTCAGTCATTAATGCTTTTTCAAAAGTCGACATTCGAAGGATGTAGGTTCTCTCTTGTGCGCTGTGAAACCGAGCACGTTACATGAATGGTTCTATCCGAGGCCTAGCTGATCGGCTTGTCCACTATCCCTTCGAGGTCGGGTAAAATTCGCTTTGTTTGTGCCACGCAATACTCGTCGAATCGGCTAAATATATGGATACGTATAGACACATTTTCAGCTGCAATTTTTTTGGGCCGAAAAAAAAATCAATATTTCACAGTTATAGACTAAACTCGGACCGGCTATGGAGAACCCAATAGTTAGTAGATATAAAATACAATAGATTTCGGACTGGCACAGTTACACTACCTGTATACCCATGCCGGCCAGAAATGGGCAAAAAGGAGAGAGCACAAGAAAGAAGAGAAAGGCGCCGCCAAGAGATCTCTCTCCTTCGAACAATTCCTTATTCCGATCAACAAAGGTATCATATGAATCACTTCTTTATCGATTTCGACTATACAATAATGATATTACCTTTTTAGCTTTGGAAATGCAAGTTTTTGTCTGAAGATCGAATTTGGGGCTTTCAATATTTCTATTCGATGTTTTCTTCAGCGCAGCTGCGTCCGATGTGGGATTTAGATTACTGAATGTTCTTGTTGTCGAACCCATTTATGGCCTTAGGGTTTATTGAATTTCTCCTATTTTAGGGCTTCAGGGTTTATGGTCTTGGATGCTGTTTCATAGCTCAGTGTGCATATGTCACATAAAGAATTTAGATACACTACACTTGATGTTCGGTTAGATATTGATCACTTGCCCGGTTTTTTGCTTTTCCATGGCCTTCGTTGTGTACAAGGTTTCTTTAATCGCCTGCCGTGAGTTGTGAATACATGAAACTATCTGAATATATTTTTATGACGAGCCTTCCTCGAAACACATGACAACTAGGAATTTTAGAAGCCATGTAAATAGTGTGGTATATGCATCTGTGTGTTCTTATTGCAATTGCAGCTTATTAAATTCACCCCATCTTTTTTTTTGGTCGCTTCTCATGATCCTCATTCGAATCGTGTGTGCCTAAGAGAAACCTTTTTTTGGTGTACAATGAATATTATTTTCGGCTGCTCTGTTTGTTTCTATATTTTCCCTACAAAGCGAGGACAGAGTGGATTATGTTACTTAGACCTAGTTGTTGATATTCTTGCATTCAGATGGTGGACTCCCAACACTATTGCAGTGGTTACAGGTTCGAATAGGGGAATCGGGTTTGAGATTGCACGACAACTTGCATCTAATGGGTTGACAGTTATTGCCACCTCACGAGAGATTACTGCTGGGGAAGAAGCAGTTAAGGTCCTAAAAGAAGGTTTTAATGTGGTTTCCCATCAGCTAGACATTTCGGATCCTTCATCTATTGAAACTTTTGTACAATGGACAAAGGAGACTTACGGCAGCGTAGACATACTGGTAATTGTGACTTTGCACGTTTTTTCTGTTGTTCTTGGTGGATTAATCTGTTCAAGTAACTTTCACATTGGAAATTGTGGCTTTGCACGTGTTTATTATATTTGTTTGTGTGTAAAATGCCAAAAAAAAAAAAAAAGAGTTCAACTTGCTTCTTGTCCTTTGATCTCAAGATTCTGATGAGACTCGTATGATGCATTATTTCTAGGTGAACAATGCAGGAGTGAATTTCAACACAGGCTCAGACAATTCTACTGAATTCGCTGAGAAGGTTGTTGCAACTAATTTCTTTGGGACTAAAAACATGATTAAGGCCATGATCCCTTTAATGAGACCTTCAGACTCTGGTGCTCGTATTGTAAATGTGAGCTCGAGACTGGGAAGATTGAATGGGCGGCGTAATGTAAGAGATTTTATAGTTCAATGTCTATTGCAGAGAAAGCAAATGCAGAACTATTTTGTGTATTCTGAAATTCTCAACTAATTTTTTGCTTGATTATGCAGCGAATAGGAAATATTGATCTGAGAAAAAAGCTAGAAGATGATGAATCCTTGTCAGAAGACTTAATCGACCAGACAATGGCTACATTCCTAGAACAAGTAAAAGACGGCAGTTGGGAAAATGGTGGATGGCCTCAAGTTTATACAGATTATTCCTTGTCGAAATTAGCAGTGAATGCCTACACGAGGATGATGGCAAGAAGATTAAATGGTCAGAAAATATACATTAACTGCTGTTGTCCAGGATGGGTGAAAACCGGCATGACTGGTTGGGCTGGGCTTACTGGCCCTGAGGAAGGTGCTGATACTGCAGTTTGGCTTGCTTTGCTTTCTGATCAATTACCAAGTGGCAAATTCTTTGCCGAGAGGCGTGAGATAAATTTCTAGAGTTTGCACGACTTGGCATCGGCTCAGATTTAGGGAATATCTTGTGGACTAAGTATGCTTCTAGGTGGAAAAAAACACAACCACCACTGGAAGTTAATGACTCATGAATTGTGTTTGTAATTTGTATGAGTTACTCTTCTGTAGTGAAATTAGTTTTTGTATATTCACACCAAATGTTAAAGGAATTTTGGAACTTAGGCAATTGCTACTACATATTAATATGGAACACACATTATAACCATTTTCAAGAATTCCATGGTAGGTTAAATGCAATCATGTATTTAATGCAAACTTCCTTATATTAATGTTCCATTAGCACAATCTCCCTTTTTTTAATTTGGCTATTGGAACTTTAATATAAGGAAGTTTCACACATTTTTAAATGTTAAAATAAATAAAAGTTCTTTATGTTATTTAAATCTTAAAACTTAAAAGGAAAGCTAAATGCATTATAGGTGTTTATTATTAATCAAAAAAATTATATATTTTCATTTATCTTATTTAGCTTTTTTTTTTTTAATTTAACATAAATGTATTTATGTTATTTGTTATTTGATATTAATAGTAATACAACTAAATTATCCATAGCACATTAATTATAAAAAATGCATTTTATTTATTTTATTATATGGTTATATATTATATCATATTATTTTATTTTATTTTTATTTATTCATGTTACATATATTGTTCTATATTATTCAAAGTAAAAAACTTTAAAAGTAAATAAATATAAAGGAAAAATAAAAGTAAATAAAATAACACCTAAAGTCTAACATTAAGTGAAATTAAAACTCAATAAAATATAAAAAATAAAGACATACAAAAATTAAATAACATAAAATAACTAAAATAATAAACTAAATAAATGGAAAAATAAATTTTGTTAAAAAAATGAAAAAAATAAAGTTATCATTGAAATAGTTATATTGTCGTTATTGTCAAATTAACAATATTGTTAATGTCAAATTCATGTATTTTTATTTTATTTAATATATATATTTTTGTTTTACTTATTTGTATTTATTAAATTATATTGTTGTATTAAATATAATTTACATTATATTTTTTCTTTTTTTAAAATTTATTTTAGTTTATTTTAGTATTTATTCTTTTTTATTCTTTTTTATTTTAATTTATATTTAATTTTTATGATATGCAACAATTTATTTTAATTTATCTTATTCTTTTTTCTTTATCTTTTGCAACAAATGTATTTATTTCGATTCATTTATGTGGTATATCAATTAAAATGTTGCAATTTTAATAAGTAAGTTGTGTTGGTGTAGTGGGTTAAATTTGAGTGGAGTGTTTGTATACCATCCTCATTGTAAGGTTTAAGCCCCATATTGTTTATTTTGCCTAATAGTCATTGAGGGTGAAATGATAAATTAATAAATTTTATTAAATAAAAATAAAAACTACTTGCATAAATCGTGCTTGTAGTGCACGTACAGTTATCTTTGACGGGGCGGGTAATCATGCAAGCATAACCTAAATATAAGGGGGTTTCGTGCATTTTTTAAAATATGAAAGAAAACGCATAAATTTTGCTAACTATAATTGTGCACACTATATTTAACCCTTCTATGATATCAACTTTGGTCATAAGTCTAATCTAAAGCACATTGGAAATTACATATGGTAGTCTTTTAAAGACCATCCGAGATATGATGAGATGGAGTTGGAGATTAATTAAGTTGTAACATGTCCTCAAAGAATGTAATTTATTGACGAATTTTTAGCCTCTTTGGCCGAAAGTTCTCCAGGAAGCCTGCAACGTTTAGGGGTTCCAAAGTTTGGTCTGAAACTTTAGAATTAGAACATGATATGTTTGGTGTAGCTTACTCTTGTAGAGTAGTAGCATATAGTTCGATTATTGTTTTCTTTCCTCTTTGTAACAAAATTAAAATGTTATGTGATTTTAAGGGTGAATCACATATTTTGGGCATTCATGGACTTGTTAATTTGCCCAGAGACATTTGGAGACATGCTATAGCATAAGACCCGCATAAACACCACGTTACACTGAAAAACAACATACATTCCTTGTCAATACACTAAAATCCACATAAAACACTTACAATATTATCAATGTTCTAAAGATGTTAGGCGCTCGTTGAATTAGAGTGGAGAAAAATATTAATAAATTTATTTATATCTGCCATCATGCATAATTTATAAGATATATTATATAAAATATATTAATTAATATAGTCGGATACAAAGATCATACAAAATCTAACGCATTCATGACCATACAAGTATTAATTGTGAAATAATTAGTAAATTTTTTCATTATATAATAAATTTAAATATCTTGTGTAAAAATAAAAAAAAATCAATTTTTTTTTTTTAAAAGTAAATTTAAAAAAAAAATTGAAAAGAAAAATACAAGTGCCTAGACGCCGTCAAGACCGCCTAACTAAGCGTCCGCCTAGGCTGCCTAGACGCAAGTACCTTCACAACCGCCTATAGCCTGCCTAGGCACCACCTAATCGATGGAGCGCCTAAAACTTCCGCCTCGACAAAATTCGAGGTGTCTAAGTACCGCCTAAACCGACTTTTAGTACCGAGAACGGTATAGATAGATAGATAGTTGTATAGATAGAGATTATGTTGTACACATTAATATACGAAATACATTAATGTAAACATTGTTAGGATCAACAATTTAAAACTCAGTTCTCCATCAAGCCCAACATACAAGCCCAAATAGGATTCCACCCTAAAACCAATTGACAATAGAGGGAGTAGCCCACTAAGCTTATATATTGAACTTGAACCCATTAATTTTCCGATGTGGGATTGGGTTTGCACACCCAACAAACATATGGAAATGCTAATGTCTCGTTACTGAATCATTCCGTCAGGGTTTATAACCGTCAGAAATAGTTGATCTAGCGGTTACAAACCCCGACGTAAAATTGGTGAAAAAAAACCACAAAGGTTCTTGTAATTGCACAAACAAAGCCTGAAGCCAGGCTTCTTTTTCATAAACGAAAAGGAAGCAAAAAAGACAGTCGTCGTGAACATTTTACAAGGAAGATTGGTGTATTGGGGGGCCCCCCACCCCTCGACTCCCCCCTGGTTTTTGCCTCTTCTGAATTTTCTCTCTGAATTTATGTACTTTGCCATGTAAAGGTAAAATTCTTAATTGTCTCCCCCTTTATTATTGTTCAAAGTTTGTGGAGAGAGGGGGGGGGCCCCCCTTACCAAAAAACTCACCCCTCAACCTCAAATCAAACAAAACATATACTGCTAAAATATCTCTGCGCCACCATCATTCATCCAGCATGTGTCAATTTTCTAACTATCTTTCCCTTTTTTTATTTATTTTGTTATTAATTACTTTTTTTTTTGTTTTTAATGATGAGAGAACTCTCTATAGCTACTAGTGTTTGGGTTCAAATTAGGCAAGTCATCAATCTTTGAGGGGCAACGGTCGGTTTGGTTGGTGTTGTATACTGAAAGCTTGGCTTTAGATGTATTTGTATCGAACCGTTTGAATGAGAATAATGTTTAATTAATTAAACAAGTCGTCTATGTTTGTTGTTTTGCACTTAGATAAATGGTTCATTAACTGTACAGTTGGTCGTCTTGATTGAATACTTACACTAGTACACTTTGTGTAGGGGCGAAGCCAGCCTCAAATTTCACCGGGGTCCGCAATATTTTTTAGCGGGGTCATTAACCTAGTAAACAGTGTTTGAACAGTATTTTATACTAAAAATTTTGAAATCCATAGGGGTCAGCTGACCCCAGCCACAAGGTGTGGCTCCGCCACTGACTTTGTGTATTGAACGGATTCCAGAGAAGAGAAGTTCGTTTTATTATACTGAACAAATGAACTAGGTCTCGGTTAATTACTGCGTACTCTTAACCTGTAAGATATAAACAGGCATGTGCATGCAGTAAATATTACTTTGATTCACTTTGGTGAGATTCAATTTACTGGATCAATATACTTGATGTTTTGGGTAATATTATTGTACTAGTACAATACCCGTGTACTACACGAGTAATTGTTAAGAAAATTATTTTTAAAATTAAATAATAATAACAATAATTATTTAAAATTAATATATGTATTTATTAAGCTAATTTGAGATTTTTATGGAAATTAATGAGCCGATTGAGAGCTTTCAAAATAAATCAAGGTTATATTAGTCAATCAGTATAATTACCAAATGTTCTCATACAACATAAGGGTTATATTAGTCAAAATATTATGGAATTGCCAAGTTAATTTTCAATATTTTTGGAATGTCCAAACCTGTAATTATTATTTAAAATAATTTTATTTTTTATCCAAACCAAACTACGAAGCATGTTTTTTCGTCAAGTAGGATTCCAAAGCGTGCGAGGCTGCCACTTAGACTCAACGTATTCTGCAATTATATATAGAGGGTCTGTACGATGCGTTGTTACAATATTTACGACCACCATGTTCGATAGTTTGATGATGTCCCCGAGATGAGCTCATGAAGGATTATTATGTTAAATTTGGCTAGTAGAATTTATACCGACATAATAATAATGGTATGAGTGGTATTAGTCTTGGTTATAGATTAATTTAATTGTCAGTAATTAAATTAATTGATGGACATACATAATCATCTGTGAAGAACAAAATCTAAAGCCATGAACTAATTCTTAGCTATAAAATGATCCCCACCAACACACACATTTTTCGAAATAAAATGATTCCCACCATGAACTAATTGGGAATAATTCAAAACTAGTCTCACAGGTATAGGGGTGACATTTTTTGCCCCAATAGAATCCAGAAAATATTAATAGTCTCGCAACTTTTAAAAAAAGTTCTACTTTTGATCATTTTTTAAAAGATGCGGGACTATTAAAATTTTATGGATTCTGTTGGGACAAAAAATGACGCCTCTATACCTGTAGGACTAGTTTTGAAATTTTCCCCGAACTAAATATTAACTATATATGTCACTGAAAAAGTAGTCTTTTATTATCAGACTATCTTCCTAATTAGTTAGATTACTTGTCATGTGTCAGTGATAGATGTGAGGTGAATCGGTTGAAGAGTTTTGATCGTCTGTAAACAGGTAACAAGGGCCAAGAAGGTCACCCGATGTTAGCACACCACACGCAAGTTAGTATTGGGAATAAGGTAGTAAGATCTGTAAATTATAAGTAGAGATTATGTAAAATGTATAGAGATTTTACAGTGATACATCAGTCTCTTTTACAGGGGGTGTCTTGGTGTCCAAAATTGGGTTTCTCAGTTACCCCGATCAGCCTGCCTGAAACAGTTATGTAATCTTCATCATCATAGATTTCTTCTTATCCTTATTAGATTCCTTTTAGTACCCATTAGGTCTTTTACTCGACCTACGCTCCTGGTAACTGCCACTGTCCAAGTACCAATAAGTCTCAACATATAGACTAAATCGTCTCCCTGAGTATCTATGAGTAGGGTCTCTGTCATTCTAGAATTCGCCTTTCAAGAGGGCTTAATTAGGTCGTTCATTCTTCACCAAGTTGTTTTCTCATGACTTCAGTCGACATATTACCGCAGTCCTTTCATATGTTCATTCCTCAGTTTGACTTGGCCCTTTCGGTTGTCTTCATCTCTCTAATCCTACGGATTATAATTACAATCATATACTACCTCCTTTTTTAAATAAATGTCGTTTTGACTTTTTTGATTCATTCATTTTGCTATGTATGTAGACATATTAATGTCTAGATACATAGCAAAATGAATGAATCAAAAAAGTCAAAACGACATTTATTTAAAAAAAGAGGGAGTAAAATATTTGTACTCGAGTATAAATATGAAAAGCTTTTATATAATCTTTAGTATTAGAAGAAATTATTTGAGCTTGATATATGAATTAGTTCATATTTAAAGTGTCATATATTATATTCATATCTTGCATATATATATGAGAAACTGTTAGAAAATCAGCTATGAAAAACTTGAGTTCGACCCAATTTTTTGATTTTTAGATTTCGACACTAAGTTTGTAGCAAAAACGATAACAATATTTGAGATGTGATGGTGGAATTGAATGGGATGCAATCAATGCATATAATATATATAATATAATACGAAGTATGATGTGGAAACATTAATATTAGGAAATACTAAAGTCCCGTTACGAATTCATTCCGTCAAGATTGTTAACAGTAAATTATCTATCTACACTAATCTACATGGTGTATCTATGGTTAAACCCGACGAAATGGTTCAGTAACGAGACTGTAGTCATCCCGCTGGTGATGAGCATGCATCCAAATAATAATAATAATAATAATAATAATAATAATAATAATAATAATAATAGTAATAATAATAATAATAATAATAATAATAATAATAATAATAATAATAATAATAATAATAATAATAATAGGTAATGATAAAAGTAAACAAAACAGTGTTAAATAGCCCCACCAACCTCCATATATCCTATACGTCCTCAGTACTCACCCTTCCTCTCCAACTCTCACAATTCATATTTCCTAACGGCCAAAATTTTAACCGATTGATGGATCCAAACGGCAACATGTTGAGGTGGGAGGCAATAAGAGTCGGGTCGTTGGGCGGCCTGGAGGAGCTGTTCGAAGCGTACGGAGTTCGATACTACACGGCTGCAAAAATCGGGGAGCTCGGGTTCACGGCCAGCACCCTTTTG